CTACAGTTTCATAAATATTTTCTTTTAGTTAAACATGTATTTTGATAGTTATTGTTCAACATGTATTTCAGCATGTACGATGCGTTTGGAACTATCTATCTAAATCCATTACCGTAAACGAATCTCCGGACTCCGGCATATAACATCAAAAGAGTTCTTCACACATTTTTCACATGCTTCTAAAGTACAGATATTATATATAAATACGGTCCTAATTCACATGTTCTCAAAGTACAACGATGTATATCCAAATGTCTTCTTTTTATTTGAGAAATAAATTTATATCTAAATGTCCTATTTCAATTAAAACAATACTTTATCATAACCGAAATCGTCACATTATGCGCATGTTCTACAGAACAAATAAGCAAATTGTCTAATGTCCATATTCTAACCAAAAAAAAAAAAAAAATCCTTTATATAATTTTCATCTTTAAGGTTTAGCACCAAGCTTTAAAGATATGGCCTCGAGTTTTCTTTCATGTGTCTAGTCTATTTGATATATATATTTCTATTGTTACAAAGTTTCCCATCTTCTTTTCTACGTTCTCAAAATGGTAGAAGTACTGACCGTGATTTCTTCAAGCATGGTCCGACCCAAAAACATAGTCCAATCGGGTCGGACAAAGATCCATCTAACTCCGCATGATCTTGACCTTCTTTATCTTGTTTATCCTCAAAGAGGTCTTCTCTTCCTTACACCCGACCCGGAAACCCGTATCATCCCTCGATTAAAGGCCTCTCTTTCGACTGCTTTAGAGATTCATTTCCCGTTCGCTGGTCGTCTTGTCAAAGTGGACAATCACGGAGACAATACGGTGTCGTTTCACATCGACTGCGACGGCTCGGGCGCCAAATTCATTCACGCCAAAGCCGAATCTGTCTCCGTTAACGATCTCCTTCAGTGTAATGGCTCTGTTCCTGATTTCATAACGCATTTTTTCCCTGCGAATAATGTCGAAAGCCGTGACGCCCTAATCTCGGAGCCATTGCTTGCGTTGCAAGTTACCGAGATGAAAGACGGAGTTTTCATCAGTTTCGGTTATAATCACATGGTGGCTGATGGTTCTTCGCTTTGGAGTTTCTTCCACACTTGGTCCAAGATTTGTCTGAACGGTTCACGTTCTAATTCTGATAAGCTTGTTGTTCTTAAAGATTGGTTCCTCGATGGAATCGATTATCCGGTACATGTTCCGGTTTCAGAAATGGAGACACCACCACCAAGTCGTAAAGTTTCAACTAAAGAGAGAGTTTTTCACTTCTCAAAGAATCAAATTTCATATCTCAAATCGAAAGCCAATGACGAGATTGGCTCCAGTGATCTGAAAATCTCGTGTCTTCAAGCGGTTGTAGCTTACCTATGGCTCTCAATTATGAGACACAGTGGTCTAAACCGAGAAGAAGAGACTCAGTGCAAAGTAGCGGCGGATATGAAACTAAGGCTAGACCCTCCTCTTGAGAAAGAATGTTTTGGGAATGTGACACAACTCGCGGTAGCTACGTCAACCGTGGGGGAGCTGTTGGATCACGGGCTAGGTTGGACTGCTTTGCAAATAAGTAAAACTGTGAAGTCACAAACGAATGAAAGTTATAAAACTTTTGCTCAGAATTGGGTTAAGAATGTCAAGATCCCAAAAATAGGGGTTGGAAGTAGACTGGCTGATAATTCTTTGATCGTTGCAAGCTCTCCGTTGTTTGAAGTGTACGATCATGATTTCGGTTGGGGAAAACCGATCGCGGCTCGAGCTGGACCGGGTAATGGGACTGGTGGTTTGCTTGTAATGTTTCGTGGGGTTGAAGAAGGAAGTATTGATGTTCATGTGGCCTTGAATTCATCTTTATGGTCTGATGTACTAATGAACCTATAGGCCAATGATCGATGACTGATGAGCATTTGTATTATGTGGCAATGAAAAAGTCTGTTAGTGTTATATGAGTAAACTGGTCACTTAAATATATAATGTTTAGTTTTAACAAATTCATTTGCCAACTACCATTTACCATCCTCTTATAGTCATGAGTGTTTGGAAAGTCAACTTTAAGAGGATGGATCTCATTCTGCTTCCCGTTGATAGTAACAGTGCGATTAGGATTATTCCATTGCAGGATTTGCGTGTGAATGGATACGCTATCAACGGAAAGAAGAATGAAATCCATCATTTTGTCTCGAAGCTGAAACAAGCGTAAGATGAAGCCAATACCTGGTACTTCAGGTTAGAATTAGCATTCGAGAAGATCCTTATGAAGACTCCAGTACCGGTCAAGAAGCCAGACCGATATCGTGACCCGTACTAGACAATTTTGCACCAAAGTTCCTTTTTTTACCGTGAAACATAATCCTAACCGACTTAGGACTTATGTAAACCTATATATACTTGCTTTTAGCATCTCCAGAAAAATAAACAACCACATATTACTACCGAAAAGATCAAACACGATTTTATAGTTGTTCTTCATTGAATTTTGACTTTAACAGCTTCCACGAGGAGATCTACATTAGAGAAGATATATTTCCTTATATTTTCCTTTTCAAATCAAATGATCTAATGATGTTTCATGCTTATTATTGATTGTGTGTCGTTACCTTTAATTATGTCTCAGTAATTTAGTTGTTTGGTTATTGGCTTAATAATTATTCCATATTTATTCTTGATTGATATCGAAATTTCTAGGATTTATTTTATGATCAAACGGTTGTTTACTTGGTTGACCATATTGTGAACTGATCTTAGATTGATATACTCTCTAAGAGTTTCTCATATTTTCTGAACTAATATTTGTTAAGCAATACGTTATAACCAATCGAAATTTGAGTTATAGAGTATTGTGAACAATCGAATCTTGAACAATAGCATGTTTCCAACTTATAAATATAACCTGCGAAAGTTAAATCTATTAGGTTGTTAAAACATAGTGATCGGAGACATGATAATGGAATGATTATACCTTCGTGATTTGAGTTAGACCGCTGTTATTCAATCCCTAAAGTAATATAGATCTTGTGTTTTCATGTGTTTCTGTGAATCACATATTGCCTAATGTTTCTTTTGATTGATTTCTTTGCTTTAGTTGTTGCTTTCAATTCGTTTTCATTAATTATGATCTAAACTCCCACTAAACTATAAAATGATTACATCAAATAATTACGCATTTTCATTTATTAATCGTTATTTTATGTTTCCGCACCCGAAATATGTGAAAACTTTATATATTACTAATGATTGTAATTTACCGATTTAGTGTATATATATGTCTAGATT